CTATTTCTCATTATTACTAGCTGGGCTTCCAAATTTTTTTGCAAAAAAGGAAAGAAAAAAAAAAAAGCAAATTAGGTGTGTTTTCATTAAGTTGTTTGAGCAGTTGACGGTGGTATTGGTAACCTAGTAATTAACAGTACGTACTGTAAAAAAAAAAAAAAAAGGAAAGACACCATCAGTGGAAACAGACGATTAGTTACATGGCTTTAATGTTCGCTACGTCAGAATTTATTCGGCAAATGCATTTCCATCTGCCATTATTTACATTAACTCTTTTTTTGCACAAGTCAAAAACCACCTCAAGTGAGCGTAAAAACGTTTTTCAGAATTATGGAAATTTTTTTATTCGAAATTAGTTGTTTCCATCACTTGTTTCTGATGCGATCCTTCAAAATGTGCAGAAAAACAGGGTGAGGCTTAGTTACCATTTTACCGTGTTTTCAATCAAATAAATTTAGCCTAGGTGAGGATAAGAGACATTTTTCAAAAACATTTACAAAATCGTACTGACCCCAAACTTTCGGATGGTATTGTACATGCATTGTTTTTGAAGATTAAATTGAAATTTAGTGTCTTGGCGTCTTTTTACTACTTGCTACTAATTAAATGTATAATTTCTCAACAAACAGGCAACATTCTCCTTTGAGGCTGGGCGAAGATGCGACTCGGGGGAAGGCAACTTTGAGTTCGACACAAAGCAAGGAAACAGCATCTTCCAATCTGTAGAGGCCGCCATCAATCTACACAGAGTCAATTTACCTCAGAAGCAGATATCAAGTGGGGAGCGAGATACCATGCCCCCTTCACCTCAAATGAGAGCTGTGGCAGAGAATGCAGGTATCTACAGTGTGGTGACTGATGGAGCAATCAGAGACGGACCCAAACAACCACAGAACCCTCAGCAAACCAGACTTGAAGCCCCTGCAGAGAAACTTCTGACCGGAGTCAAGAGCCTGACACTGGACACCAGGCCTCCGCCGCGAAAGAGCCAGGTCAAGAACTTCCGCAGCTGTCCTTTGGTCAACAGTGAGGATGAGATGTATTCCCGGGCCATGGCCCCTGATCCAGATCGGGGAAGTCCAGGGGAGAAGAGAGAACCAAAAGAACGACGTTCCAAATGCTCCAACCCTGAGGACTCTGACTACTCGCTGCCCTTTGACACCATTGCCAAGAACGTTATGGGAGACATTTTGTCTGCATCAAACCCTCCACCCATGTTCGTAGAACCCAGTTGTGAAAATGACAAGAAAGGCAATATAGAAAACACAGAACCACTTTATGACATTATAGATGAAACTGCAATCAGAACCCGTTTCTCAAACAGAAAAACACATTCTTACAAACGAGTGGAGCACATTTATGATGAACCAGAGGGTTGTGGTGTGGCCCCAAGTGTGCCTCCATCGCTCTATGATGAACCAGAGAAGGTCAAAGGTCATGCTTGGAAGATGTTGGGTACAGTAATGGATCCGAGCGGTCATGAGTACCCATACAATGCTTCTGCCGATGACTATGCGGTTCCTAAACCTCCCAGGAGGGCCTTGCTTTCAAAGCAGAAGGACAACGAGGAAGAGGACAGTTCACCCTATGATAACATTATGGTGAAAGGAGTGCAAAAGAATAACTAAGGACTGCTTCAGAATCTAAAGAGGACAATGAAGTTAAATATAAGTGAGTGTGCGAATGAATGAATGAAATATTTAATCAATTAATATGCATAATATGGATAATAGTCATCAGAGTGCTTTACTGTTCTTCAAAAAGCTGTGATCTGCAGCACGTATCATGATGTTGGTCAATATGATTAACAGTTCAATTCCTCTGGGGGTGAATCACTGGAGCCTAACTTTAACCAAATGCGCTAAAATTGCATTAAATTGTCATTATTTCACAGACACACTTTTTATGTAAATTAGGCTTGTTTTAGAACATGCATCATTATTTGTAGTGTTATTAACATTGCGCTATATTGATCATGTGAACGTTTATTCTTCAAATGATGGTAAAGTGTGAAATAATCTCTGTTTATTCAAACGAGCACAATTTTGGCTGTTTAAGTGCACCCGTAATCCATAATCATCTAAATGCACTAAAATAGCCATATGCAGTGAATATTCTTTAAGTGCAAACACTCCTCTTTTTGTGTAAATTAGGCTAATTATAGACAAAACCTTATTCACAACATGCATTGCTATTTTCCAGCGCAATTAACATTGCATTATATTGATCAGGTGAACATTTATTTGTAAAAACTTTATTTATATAGAGCACACTTTTGGATTTTTAAAGAACGCCTGTAATCCAGTTGAACCAGTAAAAACTAAACTAAACTAAACCAATAATTAAATATGTAAAAGTAGCAATGCGCAGTGAATGTTATGTTTTAAAGTGCCTCATTTTATTGCCTTTTTATGTAAATTAGGCTCATTATAGACTGCACTTTCTTCACAACTTTCATTGCTATTTGCCATTGCGATTATCATTGCGTTATATTTATCATGAATATTTATTCATAAAGTGTTATTTATTTAGATGAGCCCACTCTTGGCAAACGTCTAGTTAAATGCGCTAAAGTAGCGATGCTAAACAGTTGTCACTTTTGGCAAAAACACAACCACCCACAAACCAGTTTATTTAATATAATAAGACCGTCTTGTGACTGTTTAAATCTTTTTATGTAAATTAGGCTCATGACAGATTGCACCTTATTCACAACACGCAAAGCTATTTGTCGGAGCATTTAACGTTGTGCTGTATTGACCGAGAACATATATTTATCAAAAGTTGGTAAAGTGTGAAATAACTGGGCATTTATTCACACTTTTAGTTTTTTAATGAGCACCCACAATTTAGTTAAACCAGTAGCTAAATGCAGTAGCGATGCTCAGAATATTATTTATGTGATGTGCAAACACATCTTTTATGTAAATTAGACTGCACCGTATTCACAACTTGTATCGCTGTTTGCCATTGCGATCATCGTCGCGTTATATTAATCGTGAATATTTATTCATCAAATTTGATTTCTTTAGACAAGCCCACTTTTGGCTTTTTGACGATCACCTGCAATCCAATTTAACAAGTAGCTAAATGTGCTAAAATAGCAATGCGCAGTTAATTAAAAAATGTAATAAAAACATTTAATAAAAAAAATTGCATGCTGCTTTTAAAGTAGCGATGTGCAGTGAATATTCTTTTTTTCTCCTTACTATGTAAATTAGGTTCATTATAGATAAAGTTTTATTCACAAAACTTTCACATTTTAAAGAAACAATCGAGGTGTCTGAATCTGTGAAGTATAGCAGAATGTTGTAGTCCGCTGTATTCACCACAACAGTGCTTAGAACCAATCCTTAAGACCTGCATTTGCGTTCAGCCCAAATTCTGTGGACGTGTTTGCACTGTTAACTGATTTGCATAACCACAACTGGTAAAACAGCGCTATCAGCAGGCACAGTGCATTCTTAGTGAATTCCCCATTAAGTGTCCTAATAGCACACGAGCGTATCTACAATGACCTTCACTATCCACAAAGGCGAAGTTGATTTTATCCGGTTGTAAATCAAAGAGTAATTTAGCTTCGCTTGAACACGGGGCTCTAATAGCCCTTCTTCTCTGTCTTTTTCTGGTCTGTGATGAGAGCTCACACAGGTAATTAAAGTCCTGCAGATCTCTCCCAAAATGGACTGCGCCCATCACCTAATCCTCTGCTCGCTAATGATGGACAAGGGAGTTCCGTCAAGTGTCATTGTACTATTCAGGCCAGACTCTGACTTTCTATCTCACAGGCTTCCTATTTTGAGGAACACATGAATAATAATAACTTGACTTGCAGAGGGAAACTGGGGCACTGTTAGGATGCTGCTGGGCTCCCTGCCTGCCACGGTTCATGAGCCCCACACAGTCTTGAGACTTTTAAATGTCTGAAAACACTTTACAGCTCTTATCAATTCAGTTTCTTTCCTCTTTCAGAGCATTCCAGAAATATGAACTGCATCGCACATGATATGAATGGTTTTTGATGTATTTTACTGTACATTGACCATGTTTTAAATGCACACAGCATATTTTTATTGTTGTAATTAGACTGGATATAGTTCAAAGCATACGTGAGGGCAATTTAAAGCTATCTGCTGCCATCAGACTGAAGAGAGATTTGGTGGCAATCTGCTACTGGAACATTTTAGCATAGTTTTGCAACTCATTAACGGAGTAAACTGGTACAGACTTAAGATGTCATTACAGTACACACTGATGCACTTATTCCAGCTTTGAGAGTCTGGTGTGAGATGAGCTCTGCATAAATGCTGAAAAAGTTGAAAGCTTTGCTAAGCGCAGACTTTGTGGCCTAGTTCCTTATTGTGTAAAATAGGTTGTTGAACAGCAGGGGGCACTGTTTCTCCTCAGTAGGGAGCCAAAACACTGCGTGGTTGGAGTCACGGTGTGCGTCGTTGTGAGAGAGTCGAAAGCTTCAGGGGTGTTGATTTTTTGTTAATAAAAACATATTTTCTCTCTTATTGTTGCACAGAAATCGACTTGCAATATTCAGTGGTATGCTTAAAATTATTAATGGGCAAAAAAATCAACTGAAATGTGCTTAGTGTTCCTTTACTGAATAAATAAGAGTGCTGCAAGCTTATTTTAGGTGGAGATCATGAGCCTCATACCAAGTTGTTTCATGCCCACGATTTCTTTGAACCAGACTTGACACTAAGGCAATGCGAGTCTAATGTGGAAACTCTGAAAATAGACCTTACTGATAGTTTTTTTTTCAGATGTAAAGATGTAAAGTGATACAACACTGGCACCATATGACACTGTCTACAATAAGATCTATAATACCTGGATATTAATGGTAAAAGCTCAACTAAAATGTAACTGAAATGTGCTTAGTATTCCCTTACTGAATACATATAATAATAATAAATAGATAACATTACTTTTAATT